CTGGCACCTCAGGTCATGAGTGCCACCACCATTGCCAGGGAACCAGGGTTTTATATGCATCCCCCACTGCTGGAAGGAAGGGCTAATGTCAGAGGCACCACCACCAGGGAAGGAGGAGGGGCTGAGTCGTGGCCACCACTGCAGTTCCTGAAGCCTTGGGTGATGGGTATCACCTGAGACTGTGGTGGGAGGGTGAGGGGCTGAGCCAGAAGTGCCCCTGTGGTTCCTACAGCCTCTGGTCTCAGGTGCCAGTGTGATTCCTGGGACCTCAAGTCACAAGCACCACCACCACTGCCAGGGGTGTCAGGGTCTTGGATGCAGCCCTCACTACTGGGAGGGCTTGGGTTGAAGTTGCTGTTGCCAAGAGAAGGGGAGAAGGCAAGGTCACAGGTGTCATTGTGGTTCCTAGAACCTCCAGTATTGGTGTCACTCAGAGTGTGGGCTGCTTGGGTTCCTGGGGCTCCATTTGTGGGTATTACTGTCATTCCTGGGGCCTTAGGTTACAGGCGCAGCTACAGTTCCTGGAGACTCTGGTCTCGGAAGCTGCCACCGCTGCTCTGCTGTTTCCACCTCCAGGAGGTCCAATCTACCCACCTTCAGATGTATAGATACATGGATCTCTCAGGTATCCTGGTGTGCTGTGCAGAAAGTCCTTTGTTGGTCAGTGGATGTCCTACAGTTGTAACTTGGAGGGGAGAAACAAAAGGAACAACTCACTCTGCCATGATGCTGACATCCCCCTCCCCTGTCCTTGGAATGTATGTTGGGTCCACCATTTCTACACTAGGAGCTATTTCAAGGCCTTAGCCTTGAGAGATGCAGGTGCTGTGGAGACTATCTAGGTAGTATATGTGGCTGTATCCCATTAAGGCCTCGATAAAAATTTCTACAATTCTGGTGGGTGGAAGTAGAGATTTACTCATCTTGCGGCTGCTCAAGACAAGCTTCCAGTGTAAGTGCCCTTGCTTATTCGACCTGCCACCTACCAACCGCAGAGGGCTGCCTCCTTCTCTGGTCTCTCCTTGCCCTCCAGGGGCCAGTTTCAGATTTCACCCGGGAAGGTCCCAAGGTTTCAAACCGACATTAACAGAAGATCGAGTAGAATGTGGTTTCCAGGGGCTTGGAGAGGGGAAAATGGGGAGAAATTAATCAAACAGCACAAACTTTTAGGTATATAAAATGAATAAGTTCTGGGTATCTACCGTATAGCGAGCATAGTTCCTAGAGCTAACAATATTGTGTTGTATACTCAAGAATATCCTAAGTGGACATGTTTCTGTGTGTACCTCACTCTCTTTCTAAAATGGACATAAGGATAGTCTAGTAGTGAGGATCAAACGAGACAGTGCCATGTTTCCATTCCGTATGGTTTCAGTAAATGTTAGCACTTAACAGTAATAACACTCACAGTACTTCTCGACCCTGCAGTGGCCACTCTGTGCAACGCTGGGCTCAAGGCATTCAGGTTCTTTTCCAGTCTCTGTCAGGCGCCTGCTGCAGCTGCCTAGACCCAGGAGAAACTTCTCTCTCTGTTGATTTGCATTCTGTGGCATCTCAGTGGGAGAAATCTTTTATTCTTCTTACTTTTGGTAAAAAGAAGACATTTTCTGGGTTGAGTAAGAAATGGAAAAGACGCTTTTCTGTCTCAGCTCTCCCCACGCCCACACCCTGCAGTAAGTCGCTGACTGTTTTTCTCCACGTTGCACCATCACAAACTCCCGCGTGGATGAAGCAGCCTGGGGAATTTCATTTCCTCATTGCCTCACACTGCATGCAGTCTCCGTTTGTGCTGCCCCAAACAACTATTCATTTGTCAAAATAAATCCTTCAATGAATTTCTTCATTGACTTAATTGACATTTAACTACTTACTAAAGAGTTTTTGCAATTAGCTGTATCCAGGCAAAATTATGGAGATGATAAATCTTGTATTTATCCTTTCCCAGATCCTTTGTCTGAATTTTCCTATCTTTTTCGGCATCTCTGCTCCACGGGTTCCAATAGCTGGGTGTCATTAAAACCGCACACATTTAGTTTGGCAGGTATTTTCAAATTCCACTAACCACCTCCAGATATATCATATTCTTATGAAGGACAGAAGCTGAGCTGCAGGATCATTTATACCCAGAAGTTCACAAATTTCTCTTGGTCCTTTCCAGGAAAATTTTCCACAAGAAACGAAAGAAAATGGCAACCACTTAATCTGGACAGGAAAGTGAATCAAGGAAAGAAGAAGACAGGCATCTAGCAAGTGCCTCCCCTCTGGTGATCAAAGTGCTAAATGCGCCCACCTGCATGGTCTCCTTACATCTCTACTCTTAGGGAGAAGTGTGATTTGACTATTCTACAGGCAATAAACTAGACTTAGAGAGATGAAGGAACTTTTCCAAGGTTACCCAGTTCGTAAGTGGTAGGCTAACATCTGCTGCCAATCCTCCTCTTTTTGTGCTTGTGGAAGATGAGCCCTGAGCTGTGCCAATCCTCCTCTAGTTTTTTGTATGTGAGACACCTCCATAGCATGGCTGATGAGTGGAGTAGGTCTGCACCCAGGATCCAAATCCAAGAACCCAGGGCCACTGAAGTGGAGCACGTGGAACCTTAACCACTCAGCCATGGGTCCTGACCCGAGTTTGCCTTTTTGGAGAGATTTGGCTGCGCCTAACATCACATGAGCTGGACAACTGACCTTCTTTTCTGAATATGTACTCACACTGGTGCTGGAGGCTTCAGAGGGTTTGATCCAAAGGCATTTATTTGATGTGAAGTCATATTTTCTGATGGCAGTTATGGGAGATGAGATGGGAAAGGGTTAACAGATAGCTTGCCGTTCCTTCAAGAACCCTGCTGACTTTTGTACAGTAAAATAATAAAGTTCCAATTCGTGAGCGAATTTGCTACTGTGACACTAATACAGCTCCAGGCTGTTAGAGGATTAGATGAGCACAAAGCTTTATGAGCCATCAGCTGTGGCACTGGAGGGTGATTCGGCATGTCGGTTGCTGGGAGCATGGCTGGTAATTGGAACGAGACAGACAAGGAGCCCTGGTTTGGCAGATCGAGTTTAAATGGGTGGATCATCTGACAGAGACTTTTTCTGTTCTCTTTTGGCTTTGGTTCAATGCTTATAGCCAGACTGTCCTGCTCCCAGCTGGACTTTGCTTGCCTTGAAATGCCTTTTTTTCTTGTCAGTATGTAGCTCCAGATTTCATAAGGGCTGGGGTAGGTGAGAGACAATGGCAGTAGGGCTAACTTCATCATTTGACTCTCTGAATGCTCTGGAACCCTGTTTTACTTTCCAGCTCCTTCATTCTGTGCTCAGCCTTGTCCTAGGCTCCTTCCCTTCTAACCACAGAGCAGGCCTCGCTGCGGGCTGGTCTGGAGTGCTGTTCAGTTCTGCAAGGGTTTCTAGCTACCTCATGAGATGGAAGGAGCAGAAGATGTGGCGGCTGAAAACCTGAGTTCAAGAACTGCCTTTACGACTTAGAGAAACAACTTGACTACTCAAAGCCTTAGCCTTCTCTTTTGTAAAATGGAGACTATGAAAATAATATTCACCTGGCAAGGTGGTCTTTAGCATTTAAGAGTCTCCTATGAAACCAAGTAGTAAAAACTCAAAGAAACCGGTATTCTCTCCACATTTATGAAACCCCAGAGTCACAGCTCCCATGAAGCCTGTGTTATTCCCTCAGGCAACAGTCTCCGCCTCCTTCGAGTTCCTGAGCCTCGTCTCTGAGGTCCCCAGGCAGAGGTGATGGAGAGCAGAGCACAGGTTTGGAGGCAGACGGCTGCACGACGTCGCGGAGTGTTACTTCATCTCCCTGAGGCTCAGCCTCCTTCTGTGAATTCACGCCTGTCTTGCAGGTTGTTGGGAGGCACAGAAGCCACAATGCCTGTATGGTGCCTTCCAGAGAGCCCTGCTCGCAAAGGGGTCATAATAAAGGCCTTTCTAGCTCTTCCGCTCCCTGATTTTTATTGTCCTGACTCGCTTCCTCTCTACCAGAAGGGTTTACAAAATACTTCTTAAAAATGGGATGAATTGATCCAGTTTCCTCCCCTTAAGTTTTTTTTTTAAGTTAGTACAGTTTAAATTTCACATTGTTTACAAAGCCAGATAGCACTGTCAGTCTTCTAACGAACAATGGCCCCCTCTACCTGTGACGTCCAGTCCCCAGAACTATTCTAATAACTCTTCTGACGGTTCCCTCCTATGTTTATTACTGTTTTCTGATCTTTCCATTTTAGACAAAATCTATTGACTTCCTACTGGAGAAGATGTGAATTTATGTCTATTTCATCTCTTTTCCCATACATCCCCTGAATTAATGCCCTGTGGCTGCTGTAATAAATTACCACACACTTGGTGGCTTGAAATAACAGAACAAATGTATTCTTTCATAGTTCTGGATGCCAGAAGTCTAAAATCAGTATTGCTGGGCCCAAATCAAGACGTTGACAGGGCTGCACTCCCTCCAGAGGCACTGGGGAAGAGTCCGTTCCTGCCTCTCTCGGCTTCTGGGGCTGCAGCACTCCTTGGCTTGTGGCCACATCACTCTGATTTCTGCCTCTGTTGGCACATTGTGGCTTCTCCTCTGAGTGTTTTTGGCTAATCTCCTTCGGGCTCCCTTTTACAAGGATGTATGTGATTGCATTTAAGGCCCTCCTGGTAATCCAGAATAATCTCATCTCAAAACCCTTAATTTAATCACATCAGCAAAGACACTTTTCTTTTTCAAATAAAGGAATAGTTACAGGTCCCAGGGATGAGGGTCTGTTGTCTTTGGGGGACATTATTCAGCCTTTCCACTCCCTGCATTCATTATGGATGTGTTGGATGCTTCTGTTCAACTAGGATTTTGTGTCAGCGTTCTTATGATTATGTAAATATTGTATGCAGCTGAACCAGGTAGCACACTGTGAAGGCATTTTCTATCTTGTGCACGTTCCTATCATGTGTTTTCTTTGGAGTAAAGTTTTGATTTTTGCTTTTTATTCATTTTCTAGGTGCCGGTCACCAAGTCAGCCTCAATCTTTCCAACAGAATCGTAGAACTCCCCTCAGTCTGGATAAGGACATCGAGGAAGCTATCACTCTCCTCTTTTCTAATTGGATGCCTCTCTCCTCCTGCTCCAATCTGGACTGGCTGCTCTCTCCGGTGGCATAGCTGTCATCCAAGATTTCTCTCCACCACCTGAAGCTGCTGTCTCCTGGATCCCATGTCTCCTGTCTTCATGGTTTTCTCCCTTGTCTCGGTAGAAGAACTCATGTGGTAGCTTTCTGGGTACACAAGAGATAACACTTTGGAGATCATTTATTTCTGAAAATGCCTTTATTCCACCTTCATCTTTGATTGATCGTTTGGATATGGAATCAAGATTGTACCAAACAAATCCCAGAATTCTCTGAGGGCTTGTTTCTTGGGATCACTCCTGGTACTAATTCCTATATCAGCCAGGATTCAGTTGGAAAACAGAAATCACATTACTTATTTTAAAGAGGGAATTTAATATACAGAAGGTTAAATGGGTGTTGGAGAACTGAAGAGGGAAAGGAGATACGAAGGTAACACAAAGACAATAACTGTGGGAAGCAGCTAGCATATGGGCAACAAGGGAAGGAGCTGGGATCCTTCGAACCCTGAAGCTTGAAGCAGGAGCTCCATGGTGCTAAGATCCAGCCCTCAGGAGAAGAGGTGTTGCAGCCAGTGCTGAGATCTCTGAGAGGTAGCATGAATTGGTTCTGGAATTCTAGAGAAATGAAATACCCAAAGCCTAGAGCCTGATCCACTGCCTCAGCCAGGGGAAGGGCTGTTACAGAGATGATGCTGATAGGCAGAGAAGGAAACAGGAAAGAGCATGTCCTTGTCCCTTCTCTAGACTTCTAGTCTCCCTTTAGGCCACCTACTGACAGACTGTAACAGGAAACCAGCCATCAAAGGAGAAACTTGGTTGGCAGAGTCCCAGTGTGGGTGGACAGGGCTGAGAGGCAATGGTTTAATAACTGGCACAGAGTTTTCCAACTCCTAGTGTTCCTAGAAGTGTTAGGATCTTCTCTGGAACCTTGGTGTTATAAAATTTCCCATGAGGCCATGTGGGGTGGGTTTTTCCATCAGTGATTTCAATGAGTTAGGCCTTGGTGGGTGTGTTAGATCTGGAAATGCTACTTAGCTTTAGGAAAATTTCTTACATTACTTCTTTGGTAATTTTAACCCCTCCATTTTCCTTGTTTATCTTTCCAGGACTCCTACAATATATCTCGTGTACGTCTTGGATTGATTGTCTAATTTCCTTATATTCTTGCCTGATGTTTCTTATCTCTTTTTCTTCTTGTGATGCTTACTATGAGAGTGTCTCAACTTTCTGTTCTAACCTTTTACGTTTTTAAACTTCTGCTAGCATGCTTTTAAATTTGCAAGACCTCTTTCTTTTTTTTTTAAAGATTGGCACGTGGGCTAACAACTGTTGCCAATCTTCCTTTTTTTATTTAAGGATTGGCACCTGAGCTAAAAACTCTTGCCAATCTTTTTTTTTTTTTTCCTGCTTTATCTCCCCAAATCCCCCCTGTACACAGTTGTATATCTTAGTTGCAGGTCCTTCTAATTGTGCAAGACCTCTTTCTTAAATAGCACTCTATTCAACAACAAATAGCAGTCTGTTTTATAGATCTTGATCTTGTTTCATTGTTTGTTATATCTGTTATGCTATATTGAGTATGTTTAAACTTTTTCTTCTATTACGTTTATTATCTTTCTTTGTCTGTCTTTTATGTTACAAGCATTCCTCAAGTCTCAGTATGTGTTGACTGGCCTTACAAAGGACGAACTGCTCAAAGGCTGAGTGGAATAGCTGTGTGTGGGCAGGGCTCTCTGATTGCTGGACGCCACTATAGGATATTCAAGTAAGAATCTGGGTGATTTCTTGGTGATCAAACATCAATATCTCTAGGTGTTGTTTGGTCCCTTCCCCCTCTTTGGACCTCTCAGCTTCCTCAGAGAGGAGCTCTTTTGTTTCCAGGCTGTATGCCTGCTTGCCACTTTTCTGAGGGTTAACTAGGGCAAGGTGGAGGAGTGGTGCCCACCATTCATTTTCTAGACTCTTATCAATGCCCCTGTGTTCTATGCAATGTCTCATTCCTGCCCATAGCTGTGCCTGGTATTCCTGTTTCCAGAGCTTCTTCATATAACCTGTGCAGAGAATAGTTCTCCCATCTTCTGCCAGGGTGGGAGATGGCAACTTTTGGCTGTGCAGGCTCGGGGAGGAGTCCTAGGTGTCCATCTACCCACTACACAGATTTCCAGCCAGTTCTTCTCTTTCCCACCCCCACCCTCCCTCTGGCCTTGGGGGTTCCTGCTGCTACCAACTGCTGAGGCTTTCAAGCATCCTTCTCCCTCACGCAGAGAGACATGAGGGCTCATCTCTTTTGGGCCGTCTGTATTGCCCAGGCGGGACTGAAAACCCTCAGGCCTAGCAACAGCATGACACAGGCCTGTTTTGATTGGAAAAGACACTGTGGAAAGTTTGCTAAGCACTTGTCCTAATGCGGTGAGAAGGATTTGTGAAATAAGCACTCCTGGGGCCCCCCTTTGACTCCTCTTTACACTGTCACTCAGGACAACAGGGTGTGGGCAGGTCCTTGACCAATTATGTGCTCCCCATCACGTCCTTCCTGTCCTGCTTGAAGGACCCAGATGACCTCATGTCCTCCACGAAGGCTTCCTGACTAGTGCGGTTCACACTCCCAACTTCCTTTCTGGCTCTAACCGTCCAGGGTTCTGATCCCTGTGCTTCCCTGGGACATCTCACCTTGCTGTCTAGTGGAATTTATTCATCTTTTTCAGTGCTTACCCCTTTTGCCCCACATGGATGATGGCACTGAATTGCACTTGTTTATGTCCCCCTGTTCTGTGCAGAGTGTCTTCTCATACACACACACACACACACACACACACGCGTGCGCGCACACTCACAGAAATCCTCCCATTACCTTCAACCAGCAGTTATTTGATTATGAATGAATAATTACTGAAGGGAAAATGAATATCTTTATACTTTTTTTAATAGTTTATTTTATTTTATTTTTTTGTGGTTTTTTTTTTTTTTTTTGAGGAAGATTAGCCCTGAGCTAACATCTACCGCCAATCCTCCTCTTTTTTGCTGAGGAAGACTGGCCCTGAGCTAACATCCGTGCCCATCTTCCTCTCTTTATATGTGGGATGCCTACCACAGCATGGCTTGCCAAGCAGTGCATATGTCCGTACCCAGGATCTGAACGGTCGAACCCCGTGCCGCCAAGCGGAATGTGTGAACTTAACTGCTGTGCCACCGGGCAGGCCCCTCTTTATACTGTATTAAAAAAACCTTTGCATCTTTATGCCACTTAATTCTCACAACAACTGGGGTGGAGGATGTGTTGCACCTTTTTGATAGCTGGAAACGCCGAGGCTCAGAGAGGTGAGGTAACATGCAGGACTTGCAACCGGACGTTCTTTCTGAGAGCCACGTAGTCTTTTTATTTTGCACAGAATATTCACAGCAGCTTTATTTGTAGTAAGCCAGAATGGAAACAGCCAAAGTATCTACTCATCCAGAGGTGAATTTTGACAAGTAAATTGCAGTAAACAAAAAGGATCAAACTATGGGTACGCACAACACAGATAATTCTAAAAATAATTATACTGAATGCAAATCCAGACAAAAAAAACAGTACATACTGTAGGATTTCATTTATATACAATTCTAGGAAATGCAAACTAATGTACGGTGACCATGAATCGTGTGGTGGCACGGGGATGGCAGTGAGAGTCGAATAGCCTTTGCCACAAGCTGTAGCTGACTCTGTCCCCAAAGGAGGCTGGCAGGGCACACACTCCAACCCACTCACAGGGGAGAAGCCTGGCCCCCAGCAGCATGGCCAGCAGGTGAGAAGAGCTGCGACAGGACTAGGCTGAACCCAGGTGTCTAGTCTCCCAGGCTACTTAGACCCCACTTCCTTTCAGACGAGTGTGGAATTGTTTTGTCATAAAAATGCAAGTGTAGTCATAAAACATGTCTTTGTGGGGGGAAAAGTCCCCAGGCCTAGGAATGTGTGTTCGTATATGTGAGACAAGCTGAGACAGGTGTCTCTCTCCCCCTCCCTGGCCCCGAGGCCAGCACGGCCAGGTGGTCCCATGCTAACCTACAGCACGAGGGGAGCCCCGGCCGGCCAGCGGCATCTGATACCCTCCATATCAGGCTTAGGACGCTTTCCAAAAGGCTTTGCATTCCCTGGGTCAAGAGCTCTTTTTTGTTTTTTGTTTTTTTTCGAAAAACATGTGTATTTCAGCAGAAATTTAATCCCTGGGGTTCCAACTCCTTCACACTTACATCAGTTAAAATGGCATTTCTGAAGAGACATGTGATCCTGCAGAAGCCCCAGAGACTCAGCTCAGCTGGGTGTCCCTTCTTGTTTCTTGACCTCAAATGAAAAAAGAGGAAGTCACGTTTCTTTTTCAAAATGATCTTGACAAAGTCTTTCCTTCAAATTGGGCTGCACTGAATCCTTCTCTCTCACGGATTCTTTTGCCACATTGTCCTATTGCTTTGCCTGATGGAAACAGCTGTCAAACCTTAGGCTGTGGCCTGTGGGCCACGTCCCTGAGTTCAAGCTGCCGGCTCCTCGGGAGAGCTGAGCCGAGGGAGGCTGGGCCTCTGCATGAGGCTTAGACAAGTTTTAGTTCTGGAAGGACCCTAGAGGTTATCTTTCGATTCCTTATGTCCCCTTCTAGAGATGAGGAAGCTGATGTCCAGGGAGGACGTGCCTCCTAGGATCACACAGATAACCCCTAGGGATTCCCATCTTTTGAGAACCTAAACTGCCAGACATTGTGCTATATGTTCTGCATGTACTGTCTTACTTATCTGCTCAGTTATTCATTAGTGAGTCCTTGTTATCCTCGTTTCGCTGATGGGAGAATTTGTCCAAGGCTGTGCAGACTCCGTGGCAGGATGGAGAGCAGAACCCTGTGCCCGTGTTCGTTGCTTTCAACAAGCGTACTATTCTGCTCCTGCAGGAGGTGGAGGGGGGTTGGAGCCAGGAGCCAGGGTTCCCAGCACCTGTCCTCTAATGTCTTTTGTGATTTTGACCTTAAGAATATTTTATATAATCACTAGACTTCAGTATGTATGTCTAGTTCCTAAAACCTTGAATCTCTTTTCTCCCGATTTTGGTGTTCTGAGAACCAGTACTAGGTGATGTTGATTTAGCTTTCAACACAAGTGTTTTCTTTCTGCTCCACCCTGGCCTTTCCATACTTCCTCCCTCTTTGTCTTCCATCTCTTGCTGGCACCTGATTCTCTCTTCCCTTTAGAAACAGTTTTCAAGAAAAGATCTACTATTGGTGATTGATAACTCAGTATGAACTTAAGCCCATCAGGACCTCTTGTAGGAGAATTTGTCTTACCTCTGATGGTGGAATGGAGAGATTTTAAGGAAGAAGGAAAAAAAGCAAGGAAACCATATTCACTGGCAGGTATTTTGTGTCAGGTATTGTGCTGGATTCTATTATATAACTTATAAAATGCTTCCCCACTTTCCTCCCTCTTTTTACAGGTCACTGAAGCTTACAGACGTTAAATAACGTACCCCCAGTCATCATGCAATGACTTCTATCTGTGGGATTCTTTCCACTATACCATGAACGAAAAGGGGAGGATTTGAGGGTGACAAGGTTGGGAGGGAGGGGCTTCTCTGTGTCCTTGAATCAATTGTGAGAGGCTGACCTCTACTGGATCGTACAGCACTTGAACACCAAAAGGAAGAAATAGTTTTCCTAGCCTCAAATGATTTTTTCTCACATTTTGGAGAGGAATCTGTTTAAAAGGTATGCCAAGTGCCTACTACTTAGAAAATACTGGACTAAATGCCAAGGTAAAGCAAATAGAAATTGATTGGACTGTGTAAGTCACAGCAGGGATGAAAGGCACACCTCCTACGCCCAGTGTGCTCAGCTTCACCAGGGAGGTATCTCCAAATAGCACAAGTTCTCTTCCAGAGGAACCGGAAGACCCAGGTCTTGAAAGAAGCAGCCCTTCTCTGGGTTTACACTCCTCATATTGTATCCCATGTTTTATAATATGCACATCTGCATTGCGTCATTATTTTTGTCCCATTGTCCATTTGTTTTGTGCAACATTGGTTCTTTAAGCAGCCATGTTCACTGAGACTCACATAAAATGGGTCTGAGATGTAGAGAACTGCCTCTTATGAATGTTTTATTTACTTATCTATCATTCTTATCAGTGGCCTTCTCCCCTGTCTCTGGTTACCTTTTTCACTTAGCTAGCCAACTGAGAATTAGATGAAGGATGGAAATAGATTGGCAGTTTGCCTTCAGCTGCTAGACAAGGGTTCTTTCTTTCTGTGGTTTAGTTTCACAAAGGGTTTTGTAGGCATTGGAAGTTTTGGTACAAAGCAGCGCGGCCTAAAGGCTGCAGCCCAGAAGGGCGAGCGAGGAGGTCAGTGTCCTTGTCTTCATGCTGCCAGCTTTGGATGTGATGAAGTCACTTATATCTCTTGTTGCCCCTTTTTTGTATTTAGAAAATTATTTTGAATTATAGTAGATTATTATGATTTTACATTTTATTTGAAAATAAGTTCTAACTTGAGAATGTGTCTACTGGAGCTGTAAGCGCACAGCCTGGATGGCATCATCTGGCAGCTCACAATCATGTACAAAATCATTCTGCATATAAAAGAAGCAATTTGCCATTAATTTATAATGTTTTTATTGTGCTTTTCTTATTGCAAAAGTATTTCATGCAGAAAATTTGAAAAATACTGATAAGCAACAAATAAATATATAAAAACCACTTGAATCTTGCCACCTAAAGATATCCACTGATAACATGTTATATTATTCTTTAGGCTTTTTAAATGCATATTTTCACATAGGCAGTATTATGCTGTTTACAATGTTTTTTGAACTTCTTTTTCTCTCAATAATATGTCTGAATATTTTTCCGTGTCATACAATCTTCTAGAATATCATATTTCATGGTTGTGTAGTATTTTGTCATGTAGATATATCATAATTTATTTGACTGTACCTTTTTTTAGGGACATTTAATTTATATCCAACATTTTATCATTTTAAATACTTCTGTCCTAAAAATCTTTGTTGCTAAGTCTTTGTGCGTAATCATACTTTATTCTTTAGGATCAAAGTCTAAGGGTACAAAAAATTTAAGGGTTTTGATATTTGTTGCCCACTTGACCCCAAGAAAGTTGTCTCAACGTATACTTCTGTGCATTGAATCGCCCCTGGGACAATAGCAGATGATAGATTATTTTAATGTTTTGCCAATCTGATAGATTAAAAGTGTCACATATGTATTTAAATTTCCTTGATTATTGACATTGAACAATTTTTGGACTTTTACAATATACTTACCGATTTTTTTTATCTATAAAAGCTCTTTATTTTAATTTGTATGTATTTACATATTTAAGTGTCTAAAGCTCTGGAGACAAACTGCCTGGGTCGAGCCCGAGCTCTGTCGGGTTTGGTTGTGCTTACAAAGGCCTACCCCCAAGACTACAGGAAAGTTAACTTCTATTTTTTTCAGGTGCTTTTAAGTCCGATTTTCTACATTTCTACATTTAAAAACCTACGATAGTGGCCGTGCTGGTTATTCTCCCCTTTTCCCTCCAGATCCGCTTCCTATCCTTTCCAGCTGCTCTGTGCCATAAGAGACTGAGGAACGGACTGCCTCAATGGGCTGACCTGCCTTCTGGCTTTTGGTTGGGTCCAGGCAATGGCTAGCAGTGAAAGGAAAGGCGGAGAGTGGACTATTAGACTATACAGAGCGTCATGTGCTGGGCTGGAGAGTTCGGAATTAATTCTATACCTAGAGGGAGACTGAGAGGGATTTGACGTAGGGGAGGAAGATCAAAGATCAAAGTGCAAAGTAGGACAGTGAATTTGATGGCCCTGGGAAGCCTTGAGGAAGGCTGAAGACAGGAAGCCCCATGGGGACTGCTGAGGTTGCAGCTATGACGCTGAACTGGCAGATGTTGACTGTGAGTGAGGAAAATAATAGAGACCTGATTTAAGACACATTTCCAAAGAAAATGAACTGGTCTTCGGGGTGAATATTTTAAGTGTAAGGAAATGAGTAGTGACACTACTGTGGTATCATTTCTAGCCCTGGCGATTGCCTTTCTTGAGTGACATCCCTCATGGAACTTTGCAGGGGGATCCCACTTGGCAGCTGGTAAAGAGAACAACCCCCTGCGTCATCATATTACTAAAGCCACACAATATTTCTGCCCTTTCTCTTTTCTCTGGTTTCCAGGCCTTGGAATATTATAATTTCTTGAAAAGTTATACTTAAAATAACAACGACTAACTTCATTGAGTACCACTCCCCCTCCTTTTTTTCTTAGTACTTACATATTATCTCATTTAATATTCTTGTTCCTAGTTAGCCTAAATGTTATTGCCTCATTTTCAACTGAAAATGCTAGTTGGGAGGGAGCATGGAATAGTGAAGAGCACGGGCAGGGGTCAAGCAGAGCTGGTTCCAAGCAAAATGGGGCAGCTCTGTATGTATTTCCTCCTAGAGATTCCCTAGCCTGCTCATGTGTTGTCCTTTGGTAACTTCCTTATCCCCTAAATACTTTCCTTGAAAATCTGATTTCATCTGGGTAAAGTATATGAGAAGGTAGGAAGGAGGGAGAATTTAATTACTTTGAGAGAGATGGTGGATTTGGCTGTCTTTACTGTTGGTGTTACTTTCTCTTAGGCATTTTTCAAAATAAGAATTTTGGTCTAATAATTTAGCAATGGTGATTGTGTTGACTGTTCACAATGGAAGAGACTTCAGGTACTATATAATCCAATCTCTTCATTTTGCCCACAAGGACACCAAAATTCAGATGCCCCTCTCTATCCCCTTGGTCTGTTCAACACCGGAAGTCTTTTGGCTTCCATTAAATCTATTGGTGCCTGGTAAAAGGTGACAACCCTCATCATGAGCCCCGGGGCACTCCTCCAGCCCGCTGGTGATTTCTGCATGTTGACAGCACCTATTCAGATTTTATATTTGCTTTGTTGGGTGTTGATTTTGATGAGGACTAGAACCTGCTGGAGGCTACGTAGGGCGCAAAGATGAGCGCAAGTGATCTTTGCTCAGTGGGTTCAATAGGCGAAATGGAGGAAGTACAGCTGTGACCTGTGGGACAACAAGGCATGATTTTATCTGGAAAGGTCTCCACAAGTAGCAGAAATTCGGCAGGATTAACCCATTTTCAGTAGAAAATGCTTTCAGGACAGGAATGCTATTCACTTTTCCTTGGTTTTAGATTTTCCTCTTTGTCTTTTTCTCCATTCTCCAAGTTTTCTGTCATGAACGTCTTACCTTGGTCTTCAGAGAAATTTATTTTATATGTATTTATCTGTATCTATATCATAATTTCTAAAAGAAATAAAATGCCTGGAGGAAGCAGCTCTGAAAACTCTGTGGGGAATTTTGTGGGGAAGATTGTAAGGGAAGCCCTGAACAACATTTCCTAAAGTGCTCAGTGGGAAGCGATCTTGGAAAAACCCTTCCTTGGCCAAATACACTTGGAGTGATGTGCTCCAGCCCCTTCTTGGACACTTATAATGCCCATTAAGGGCTCTGGAACTTTCTGCAGGAAAATAAAATAAAACAAAACATAAAATTTTGTCTTAATTCTTTTAAGTCAGTGTTTCTAAACATATTTGATTTGAGACTACTTTTTGTGTCTGAACATTCCAACAAGACCAGTATTTTGTGAAACATACTTTGGGAGAGTGCCCTAAAACGAGTTCCACAGAAACTCTGTTGCAGCCCTCGGGTCTCAGGATAAACCTTCTAGAGCCTGCGGCAAACGAAACAGTGATGTCTCTTCTCTCCTCTATTGGTGTCCAGGTGAACACCACTTAAAGTGAACATTAGAGCCTGGCTTTAAGTGGAAAAGAAGTCCCAAAACCCTGCAACGTGGAGTAGAAGAGGAGGTGTCTTAATGGGGGAGGCCAGACTTATGGCCTCTTGGCTGGGGCTGCACTTACATTAGTGTAGCTGGGAGGGCCTCTTCGCTTCTTGGCAGACTTCCCAGGTTGCTGATCCGGAGGCTGGCTGCGGCTGCTCCCCCAGCCAGGAGGGGGCACCTCTCTTCTCTACTGGAGGTGCAGAGAGATGAAATCTGCATGTGCTCTGAGTCCATGCACACGCAGCATGTGTACAGCACTCTTCAGGGCACCCTGGGACCACTAAAGGAGACAGTCTCACTCTTACCTTACTGAGCTAACAATCTAGTTGAGGAGATAAGGCACATACACATGGAATGTCAGAAAATGTAAGGTGACGATTGTGGACTTTGTCATGTGATATAGATTTTAAGGAATTGCATGCATTTAGAGGAGAAGAGGGCATCAGTCAGCCTGGGGTGATCAGGAAAGCCTTAGCTATAGTATGGGAGGTAGGGCCGGAGGAATGAATAGAATTTGAAAAGATAGGGACCAGAGGGGAAGGCAGTCATGCGGGGGAAAGGCCTGAAAGAAACACATGATTTGTTCAGGGACTGCATTGCCAAGTCCCTTTAGGAAGCCTCAGGCCACTCTGAAAGGTGCCACACTCAGCAGGATTTTTCAGCATTGTAGACCTAGGCATCTCCTCCATGAGTTCTCCACTAGCTACCCTTGTCTCTGGTATGGCGGCCATCGTTGAGTAGCCCGTCCATTATGCTCAGTTACTGGCTTGCTCTTATGTCCTATGGGTACATCGTGTTTCCTAGTTAGGCCTGTGAGCTAACATGGCAGGCATGAGCACAACAGTCTTATTCTCTGCTTCCCCTTCCTTGCCTACCCATCTACCCTAAGCATGTCACCCAGTGCTTGGCATAGCTCATGTATTCAGTAAATGTCTGTTGATGGATCCGTTGGATTCTGAATAAAACTTTTGCTTAGGTGTACGTCTATGACCTCATTATGTCATCAGTGAGTGTTAGTGTCCCCATTTCATTAGGCGTAGAAAAGGAGGACGGAGGACCAACACACTCCGATGTTGCGTAACCTCAGGTAGTTATAGGGCTTAGTCTAAAATCTAATTCTCTTTTCAGGCTTAAGAGTCCTTTGTTTGCGCAACTCAGTGTAACTGTAAACATTTGCTGAGTCCTGTCCTCAGTCTAGTTTGAGGGGTGTGTGTGTGTGTGTGTGTGTGTTTATAGAGGCGGGAGGGGAAGAGGAAGGAGAAACTGCAAAGACGATTGGGATGTAGTTCTACCCTCAAGAAGCTTACATTCTAGTAAAAGAACCAGGGAGAGCACTCTCACCTGTAAAGGAGTTGGAGGCCAGCTTTTCGGGGTGTAGGGTATGAGGGGACAATTCAGTTCCTTGCAGATTGTCACATATTGTTCAAGAAAGATGAGTTGGGGTCTCTTCTGTCGCCGTTTTTCTTGTTGATCCTGACTACCCTGCCAGCCACCTCGGGGGGTTGTTCCGCCTCCCCTCCTGCCCTGGGGCAATGACTGGCAGTTTCCCCAGCTGTTTGGCAATTCCAGAGCAAGCCCTGTAGCTCCAGGCACAGTCCACCAGATGGTGCAAAACAAATGAAACACCCGTCATTGTGGGCTATCCAGCTTATCAAACCCGAAATTGGACAGCTGAGGGGAGGACTTTCTGGGAATTTTCCACTTCTGAGTTCAGCCAGAAAGGAATGAAAATGTACCCTGGAGACTTGAATAGAAGGTTTGAAGTAGCTTTAGGGATTAAAACCCTGTGCATGTGTGTGTGTAAAGAGGTCTTATACATAGGCAGAAAGGAGGCGCTCGCCTCCACATAGTCTGGGCAACCTCCTGCCCTCATCCCAAACGCTCTTCTACCTCTCGGCTCAGGGCTAAGCTTCCACTCCAAAAAATTGTAAAGGACTTCAGGTGTTAATACCCTAGGGAGAAGTAATGATGTCTTGTGTTTGTTTAGAGCCTTGCATGTACCTTCAGACCTATTATTTCATTAGAACTTCATAACAACCCTGTGAAGCAGGTGATGTTGTTATAGTCATTTTAAAGATGAGGAAACCGAGGGTCAGAGACAGTCAGAGAGTCCCAAGGTTATACACCCGGGGCAGTGAGCTGCTGGATCAAAACGAGATCTTCAAGTGTTGAATCTCTTTCTCTTTTCACTCCACTAGGCTGAATTCTCTGTTTTAATGATTAGAATCCAAATTTTTAAAAAGTAGATGGTGAGGGTGAGAAGAAGGAGAAAAGTGGAGGGAGCTGAGCTCTTGATAGAGGAGAGAAAGGGCAGTGTAAGGCAGGACTTGGAGCTCACAGGCAAAATGTGCTTCTCCAGGTCCTCTTGGAGTGATTTTGTGTGTGTGTGTGTGTGAGAGAGAGAGAGGGAAAGAGAGGCATACTCATGCATACTGGAGCACAGAGTGAACATTACCTCATGTGGATACCTTTTTATTCAACTTGCTTGCACTGGACTCCTACCGTAGCAGTGAGATATACTAGAAAATCAAGTTTTAAACAGGAAAAAATAGAAAATAAACAGATGAAAGCGCCTTCCTTGTTAAATCAAGGTTGTACCAATACCCCAAGATGGTACAGTGCTGGGCCCAGGAAACATGGTTTCCCTGGCCTTTCCTGTCTCCTCTCCAAGCTGTCTACCCACTTCGCCTCTTGGTGTCCACAGAATCAGCCTGGGGTGAGCCCATTGTCACATGCTCTGCACCTCTCATTCTGGCCTTCCCTTCGGCGGAACCTGAGAGAGCGTCCCAGCCCTCAGAGCCTGCCAAGTGACCAACAGATCCTTTTGAATCATCTATACTAAATACATTAGCAAATGGTAATGTTTTAATGTGTAGCTCCTTCTAAGAACACAGAAGCTAAGATTTTATTTTATTCAAAACTTTATACACAATTTAAAACAAAGCAATATGGAGGTTTCAGGCACTGATGTTGGTCAGGTCTTCAAGCTTCCCCAAGACCTCTCAGAACCCTGCACACCTCACCAGCTGTCTGCACAGCTGGCCGTGGAGTCAGCCCTGCAGTCTGCCCGTTGAGATGTTTTCTGGTGGGGGTCGTATCTAACCAGGCAAAGTCATTCCTATCTTCTTCCTTCTTTCTCATTTTAGTGCCCTGGGCTAGCTGAGACTCCCAGGACATCCAACCTCGATTATCGCACTAATCTTCTTATTGTCCCTTTCTCTCCAGCCTCCCTGTATTCTCATCCTAGAGGTGGCTGACAGAAAATTTTTTATAAAACTCAAATTGGACCATTTTGCTTTCCTTCCTAGAAATCTTAAAATGTTCCCCTATTTCTCTTTTTTTAAACAACAGCTTTATTGAAGTATAGTTCACATGCCATAAAGTTTGCCCATTTAAATTGCACAATTCAATGTTTTTTAGTATATTCACAGAGTTCTGCAGCCGTCACCACTGTAGGGACTAAACTGTGTGCCCCTAAAACTCATATGTTGAAGTTCTAACCCCAGTACGTCAGAATACGACTGTATTTGGAGACAGGGCCTTTAAGCTAATTAGATAAAATGAGTTCATATGGATGAACCATATCCAGAATGACCGGCGTCCTTATGGGAAGAGGAAATTAGACACAGACAACCCACAGACTGAGGGGCTAACACATCAGGGCACAGAGGCCAAGGAGAGAGGCCTCAGAAGAAACCAAACTTGCTGACACCCTGATCTTGGGCCTCCAGCCTCCAGAACTGCGAGAAAATCAATTCCTGTTGTTTAAGCCCCTCAGTCTGTGGCTTTTGTTATGGCAGCCATAGCACACTAATAGAAGCACAATTTAATTTTAGAACATTTTCATCATCCCAAAAAGGAAATGCGTACCCATTTTAGTCATTTCCCACTTCTCTCCACTTCTCTTAGGCCTAGGTAATCACTACCTACTTTCTGTCCTATGGGTTTGTCTATTCTGGACATTTCATATAAATAAAACCATACAATATGTCTTTGTTTAAACTGACTTCTTTCTCTTTGCGTAATGTTTTCAAGGTTCATCCATGCATAGGATGTATCTATAATTCGTTTCCTTTTATTGCAGAATGCTGTGGACATACCACACTTTATCTATCCACTCATCAGTTGATGGGCATTTGGGTTGTTTCCACTTTTTGGCTACGAATAAATCTGCTAAGAACATTCATGTACACGTTTTTTTTGTGTGGACATATGTTTTTATTTTTCTTGTGATTTTACCTTGGAGTAGAAATGCTGGGTCATATGGTAACTTTATGTCTAATGTTTTGAGGAACTGCCAAGCTGTTTTCTAAAGTGGCTGTGCCATTTTATACTTTTATCAGCCATGGATGAGGTTTCCAATTTCTCCACATTCTTGACAATACTTGTTACAGATTGTCTTTTTGATAAGAGTTATCCTTGTGGGTGTCAAGTGATATCTCTTGGGGTTTTGATTTACATTTGTCTAATGGCTAATTTTTGTTTTGAATATCTTTTCATATGCTTATTGGCCATTTTTATACCTTCTTTGTAGTAATGTCTATTTAGATCCTTTAAGTTTTTTTAATTGGTTTCTTGTCTTTTTATTATTGAGTAGTAAAGGTTTGTTATATATTAGGCATATGTCCCTTATCAGATACATGATTTATAAATGTCTTCTCCCATCTTGTCTGTTGTCATCTTACTTTCTTGATGGTATCTTT